GTTTATAGCATGGCTTATCGCAATGAACATTATTGCATTTAGTTCATCTGTCTTGCTTTAAAGTTTTGGGTTTCATTCTTATTTATTGCTAATATTAATCCATCAAACACACAAAACAATATGTGTGTGTGTGTATATATATACATATATACTATCACATTTTTACTTGTGCTTTCATCTGTTGATTGACACTTGGATTGATTCCATATCTTGGCTATTTAAAATACTGCTGTAATAAACATGGGAGTGCAAACACTTCTTTGATATACTGATTTCATTTGCTTTGGGTATACAATCAGGAATGGAATTGCTGCTACATTTGGTAGTTCTATATTTTACTTTTTGGAGGATCTTTCATATTGTTCTCCACATTGTCTAAATATTTTTTAAAGAAGACATAATATCTTTTAACATTGAAGTATGCACAGATTTTGTTGGAAGGACAAAGAAAGTCCCAGAGAATTTTTAACAAATTAGACTACATCATAATGTAGAACCTCTACTTTTGAAAAGACACTATTAAGAATATGAAAAAGAAAGACACAGACCAAAGAATATATTCACAATAAAAATCTGCCAAATGGATTTTATCCAGTTTTACATTAAAACTCTGACAACTGAAAAAATGTGAACTAGGCAATCAAACTAAAATGGGCAATATCTTGAACAGACACCTTACCAAAAAACAAAAGAAAATAAAAATAAAGTTATGTGTACATTCAACAACATTATTCTCAAGGAATTGCAATTAAAACAACCGTGAGGTACCATTTTACTCCCCTCAGAATGGTCAGAATTTAAAAGACTAATGACAGAATATACTAACTAAAGATGTAGAGCTACTAGAATTACTATACGATACTAGTGAGCATGTAAAGTGAAAACAAAAACTCTTTTGGAAAACTAAGCAAGCATGTGTCTTCCTCTCACTCCAAAATTCTACTCCTAGATATTCACCAAGAGTAATAATATGTGTTCACAAAAAAACACACACAAGATTGTTCCTAGTAGATTAAACACTAACAACCCAAACTTGAAGGAACCCCAAACCAACAGGATAATGTATCAATAGCAAAGGAGAATAAAGTGTGTTTGGGGGGTGTTATTTACAGTTAAGAAGACAGTGATATGCAAAAAAGGGAAGTCGCATATAAAAGAACTTAAAACACTTTTTAATAAAGTTCAAGACACATCTAGCTTACAGAATAATATTATAGATATAAGAATAATAAAAATCATAATGTTTTATAATGGTATCAGAATACACTGGAAAGAGAATTGGGGGGAGCTTTCTGGAGTGATTGACATGTTGGGTGCTGGGGGCCAGCATTGTAGCATAGTAGGTAAAGTCACCACCTGCTACAGTGGTGTCCCACACGGGGGCTGATTCATGTCCTGGCTGTTCCACTTCTAATCCAGCTCCCTGCTAATGTGCCTGAAATAAAAAACAGAAGATGGCCCAAGTATCTGTGCCCCTGCCACCCATTTAGGAGACCCAGATGAGGTTCCTGGCTTCTGGCTTCAGCTTGGCCCAGCTCTGGCCATTGTGGCCAACTGGGGAGTGAACGAGCAGATGAGAGATTTCTCTCTCTGCAACTGTGACTTTCAAATAAAATGAGTGCATCTTTAAAACAAAAGAGAGAGAAATGATGGGTATTTTTGTTAAGATGTTAATTATATAAAATATGTTCAGACTTATGAAATTGTATAAATATGACCATATGACCCACATATTTCATTGTAATATGTGAATACAGAATACAGTGACATAAGTCATTATACATATATAAACTTTGCTACAATTTTAAAAATGGGTATAATCTGAACTTTATGTTAGAGCAAATATACCCTTTAGCTTCTTTTCCATTATCTTTCCCCTCAATTATTTTAAAAGGTCCTGATTTTGTTTTGTTTTCTGCCCCTTTTCAGTCACAAAAGTGCCTCAATACCAAGGAAACACTGTTTTAGACCAATTGATTTTCTTTCCCTTTATTGCAACTGGCTTTTATTGGCGAGTTATATAGTTTGTACAGGTAAAATGAAAACCAATTGACAGTTTATTGGGGGCAAATCCTCTTGCTTTTAATGCACATACAGCTTTATTTTTATTTTTCATTTTGTTCAAACTGATGCATGTTTTGTGACTATTACTGATATAAGACTTAAAAAAAAAAAACTGGTATCAAAAAATCACAAAGTAGGGAGTCAGCGCTGTGCAGCAAGTTAAGCTGCCGCCTGCGACACTGGCATCCCACACTGGACTGATGGTTGAGCCCTGGCTGCTCTGCTTCCAATCAAGGTTCCCATTAAGGCACCTGGGAAGGAGCAGAGGCGGGTCCAAGTAATTGGGCCCCAGCGAACCAAGTGGGAGACCCACATGGAGTTTCCAGGGTCCCAGCCTGAGCTTTGACTAGCCCTGGCTGTTGCAGCCTCTGGGGAGTGAACCAGCAGATGGGAGATCTCTGTCACCCTGAATTTAAAACCAATAAAATAAATGTTTTTAAAAAAACTCACAAAGTAGAATAATGGGGTAACCTTGTATCTGTGAGGTCGCTGATTTGAAGAATGAACACACACACACATTGCGCACACACACACACACATATATGTATATATTAATCTAGTAGTCAATGTTGTTCAATTAGTACATACCCCAAAATCATGTTTAGTGGTATGTAAAAATTTATGGCTTCTGTTCTAGTCTGCTCTAGTAGGGCAAATAATGATACTATGTTATAGTATTCTCATCAGCAATTTAAAATGTAAAAGAAAAAGTGTTCTTTAAAGTATCACAATCTTTATTAAGATACAAGCATAGAGCCGGTGCTGTGGCTCACTAGGCTAATCCTCCGCCTGCGGTGCTGGCACATCAGGTTCTAGTCCCAGTCGGGGCTCCGGATTCTGTCCCGGTTGCTCCTCTTCCAGGCCAGCTCTCTGCTGTGGCCAGGGAGTGCAGTGGAGGATGGCCCAAGTCCTTGGGCCCTGCACCCCATGGGAGACCAGGAGAAGCACCTGGCTCCTGCCATCAGATCAGTGCGGTGCACCGGCCGCAGTGCGCCAGCCGTGGTGGCCATTGGAGGGTGAACCAAGGGCAAAGGAAGACCTTTCTCTCTTTCTCTCTCTCTCACTGTCCACTCTGCCTATACCAAAAAAAAAAAAAAAAAGATACAGTATAGCCTCTCCATGTGATACTAACTTACTATATTTACTCCAAGTAAGATAAAATTGTATATCCCAATTAATACATTATTCACTAAGTTCATTTTCATTTTGTCCAATACTAATAATGAGCAGATGAATAATTATTATTTGATACTACCCTTAACTTGACTTGTCTTGGCATAAGAACTTCCATATCACAAAATACATACCTGAAGTCTAAGTGAGTATCAAGATACATTTTAACTGAGTGATTCTTAATGATATGCTAATTTAGTCAGTTTGGAAGAAGTTAACTTTTTAGAAAGTCTCAATTGTTCTGAGACCAAAACTGTTCTGTGTTCCGAAGAGAAGCACTGATTGAAAAGGGACAAGCTATGCACAGTGGAGTGTAGACAACAAATACAGAGTAAGCAGCTTCATTCTGATTTCTTCTAGTCAATTTCAGTTTTTAATTCTTATGCAAAGATACCTGAGGTATCAACAGAATATGTAAACCCCACAGAGAACCATTTGCACTTGTTCAAAGTGCTAATAGGATTCACACCAATTTTTTAAATCCCAAAAATATACACTTAAGGGTCACACCTTCTACAGTACTTTTAAAATTTGCAAAAAGTATGTTAATGGATCCTAAGTAGTATTATTTGGTAGGAATGCAAGAAAGTAGAATACCTTAATAAAATATATTTAGGCATGACACACTTTTTCCAGTAAGTAAAAGACACTGAATCTTACATCGCTAACACATTATTATCAGGGCTGAGCAAATTAACTCAGCCAATTGACCCTCCTGAAAATAAATTTCCTATTGAGGTCTATAAATGTTCAATTAACTTTCCTTTCATTACCTTTCCTTTCATTTTCATATACCCTTGAACTTATAGGTTCAGAGCAATTCTCAAAAACAGCCAGGGGAAAAAATACATGAAGAGTTTTCTTATAGCTTATGAAAGTTTGTAATTCTTCTTTTCCCCAGTTGTTTTATCTTCCTTTTGATATGTGCTCCGTTGGACAGAGATGTTCAGTGCTGGTGTCCTGGAGACTATAACTTCCTATCTTTATGTATGACCCATATTTCTCATAGAATAATTTTTCAACCATAAAAATGTGTGAAAAAAGTGATTTTTTTTCCTATCTTTTCTTCGCTGAACAGAGAGGGTGGGAAAGGAATAAAAGACATAGAGCAGAGAATAATAGAAGTCCATTTTCTGCATTCTACAGATCAACATATATTCTATGCCTGAGCCTACCTCACATTTAACGTTAGAGCTTTATGACACAGGAAATAGGTCACTGTTTGGGGAATTCATAGGCCGAGATACAATATTCTGACAGTATATACTACCTGGACCTTTATCATAATAACATCAGCAGAATTACTTTAAGTTATGACATTTGAAGGATTTTTACAAACTATAGAATGCACAAATCATGATCATAATACTAGAATTGCACAAAAGAAACCAATATCATGTTGAGAAGACAAAATTCTAACCACACTTAAATCTGGGGGTTCTAATATATATATATCACTTTATAAATTTGCTTTAAATAGAGAGTGAAAACTAAGTTTTGATGATGCAGTAATAATTCTAATAAGGAGCCAGCACACATGGCTACATCAGTAAATTCCACACGTAAAGTATCTCTAAATGGAGTATTTTCCATGATATTCAGTAAGAATGTCTGCATTTCAGCAGAATAATAGAATTCCTTCTCCTAGATAATCAAATCTGTTGATTCATAAGTTTCTCAGATTGTAGTACGTTTCCGGATTAGAGGAGGAGGAGTATGCGCTCCTTTACAGGAATGATGTTGACAAAACCAGAAACACTCTGTTAAAAACGATATCCTTTTATAGCTCCATATCACTTGCATTTGTCTGGGTGTACAGCTGATATTCCACAAGTTTGGTGAAGGAATGAATGGCATTTAATCCTCATCTGTAGCTCTCTCACGCTACAAGAATGCTGGGTGTATGACAGAAGGTTGAAATGTCCTGAAAACAAATAGTAGATGAGAATTCAAACAGCGGGTTTTTTAAAACGACTGATGACAAAGCAATTTATAATTTCAGAGTAGATGTACAAGGATAGTTATAATGTAAAAGCGTAAAAGCACATAAATGACTTCAGATATAATACAGTCTTTGATTTAAAAAAATGAATCTTGATGTGAATGGAAGGGGAGAGGGAGTGGGAAAGGGGAGGGTTGTGGGTGGGAGGGACGTTATGGGGGGGAAGCCATTGTAATCCATAAGCTGTACTTTGGAAATTTATATTCATTAAATAAAAGTTAAAAAAAATATTGTCCCTAGGGAATAAATTTGAAAATCTCTGTTCTGGTCTTGTGATATGACTTACCAGTATCTCAGACCTAGAAAATTTATTTAAATTTTCCATGTTTTATAAAGCCTGTTGTAAGATGTAGACAGAGTAATGCTGTGTAACAACGTGAAAATTGTCTGAAAAGTCTGAACAAATGAAAATATTATTTCTACCAACAAAATGAATTATTACTCCTTTTACTATTAAATATACTTTTGTACTTGGTGGCAATTACAGATTCTTATGTTTTAGTAATATAGAAGCAAGGGACCGGTGCTGTGGCCCAGCAGGTTAATGCCCTGGCCTGAAGTGCCAGCCTACCACATGGTGCCAGTTCTAGACCTGGCTGCTTCACTTCTGATCCAGCTCTCTGCTATGGCCTGGGAAAGCAGTAGAAGATGGCACAGGTCCTTGGGCCCCTGCACCCACATGGGAGACCGGCAATTAGCTCCTGGCTTCAGATCTGTGCAGCTCCGGCCATTGCGGCCAATTGGGGAGTGAACCACTGAATGAAAGACTCTCATTCTCTCTCTACCCCCCTTTCCCTCCCTCCCTCTCCTCTGTCTGTGTAACTCTTTCAAATGAATAAATCAATCTTGAAAAATAAAGTACTACAGAAACACAAGATTACTAATGTAAATAATTCTATCTGACCTTAATTCAAGTGAAAATCAATAAAATTTACATCATACAAAGGACTTAAAGATTTCATCAATTACAATTCTGTAAGTGTAGCAGAACTATTCGGAGACACTCTTTATTAAAGACACTCTATACTGAAGTCTCATATCTTTTTTTTTTAAGGTTTATCTGAAAGAGTTACAGAGCGAGGTAGAGACGGAGAGAGAGGTCTTCTATCCTCTGGTTCACTTCCCAGATGGCCACAACAACCAGAGCTGCACCGATCTGAAGCCAGGAGCCAGGAGCTTCTTCCGGGTCTCCCACACAGATGCAGGGGCCCAAGGACGTGGGCGATCTTCCACTGCTATACCAGGTCATATCAGAGAGCTAGACGGGAAGTGGAGCAGCTGGGCCTCAAACCGGCACCCATATGGGATGCTGACGCTTCAGGCCACGGCTTTAACCCACTGTGCCACAGCGCTGGCCCCTCATATCATTTAAGTAGAAGAATCATTAAACAATAAGTCAATCAGGTATCCCTACAGAAATGATAACATCTATAATCTGGGCATACTATTTTCCTATATTTGCTCCCATGGCATTCTTTAAGAACCACACAACATTGCATTGAATGTATTGTATTTCCCTGTGAATAGATATTAGTGTCACTTCCAATATGTGCCATTAAAAGCAATGCTAGTCCTAGTTTTGCAAATGCAACTCTGAGCACTTATCAAAACATTTTGTAGGTTAATTTTCTAGGTTCATTGCAAAATATCATTCATATTTATAGTTCGATAAATAATTATAATATCCTTATCAATTTCAAATAACTTCCTTTAGACAAAATACTTACAAAGGATAAATAAATATTCTAAGCAGTATAAAGAACAAAATGAGAATTCAGATCAAACACTCTGAAATGTTGGTCGTTCTTACTTATTCTCCAACCCCACGTCTTCGGGTAGGCATCTGCCCGAGCAGTTACACTGCCGAGGTGCCTGCAGCCCCTATCAGATACCTGGTTCAAGGGCTGGCTCTGCTCCCCTTTCCAGCTTCCTGCTACTGCACCCTCTGTGAGTCAGCAGGTGACGGCTCACATAGTTAGATCCCTCGTAGCCATGTGGAGGACCTGGATGGAGTTCCAGTTACCTGGCTCAGCCTGGCCTGGCTATGGGTATTGTGGGCAATTTGAGAGTTAACCAGCAGATGGAAGATCTCTCTCTCTCTGCCTTTAAAATAAATATTTAAACAAATATTCTTGAAACCCTCAACTTTCTAGTACTCCGTAGTGTCCTTGAGAAATCTACCCGCTAATCTCATGAGGCCTCCCTGTGGGGATGATCTCCTGTAAGGAAACCAAGTGCTACTCCCTGAGCTCTCATTTAATTTTATCTCAAGTGTAATCAATGATAGCAATAAATGGTAATAAAAATGTGGACTGCAAGCATCTGATATTTTAAGTATTACAGGCACATAATTGGAAATGAGAATATGTGACACTCCTGTGTGTCTAAGAAAAATAAAAAGAACACTGGTGTCATGTCTGCTTTGCCATACCAGCAGCCCTGCACTGAAACCTAACTGTTGTTGTTCAATATTTTCAGTGAAGACGTAAAATGCTCTCGCGATGTCATCCCTCGTCCTCAGAATAGTGTTTGCATTACGTCTGTTAACATCCACTGGGACAAAAGAGAACTGAAACTTAGAAGTGTCCATTTGTCCCAACACCCAAAGTCACCCGAAGCTGTTACCACCACATAAATTTAATATGAATATATTTGCTTCCATTTATCACACATGGATAAATTGATTTCCTGTCATAATAAAGGTTTTTAGATTAGGCCTATAGAGAGAAACTGAGAAGTGGCGTTGCTATTTAGAGGTAATATGACCGAAATGACTTAAAGTAATTGGGTGCTGTTTTTAATGCTACACAGCGTGGGCTGGTCAGCTGCAGTGGATGCCACAGAATACCAAAGGTAGGAGACACAGAATTTTAGTGTTTGGGTGTTAAATGAGCTACTCAGTTCTGGGGTGATCTCAACAAGACAACTTACTGACTAAGAAAAGTGTTGGAGGGGCCAGCGCTGTGGCATAGTAAATAAAGCTACCACCTGCACTTCCAGCATCTCATATGGGTGCTGGTTCAAGTCTCAGTTGCTCCACTTCCCATCCAGCTCTCTGATATGGCTTGGGAAAGCAGTAGAAGATGGCCCAAGTGCTTGGATCCCTGTACCCTCATGGGAGACCCAGAAAAAGCTCTTGGCTCCTGGCTTCAGATTGGTGCAGCTCCGGCCATTGTGGCCATCTGGGGAGTGAACCAGCAGATGGAAGACTTCTCTCTCTCTGTAACTCTGCCTTTCAATTAATTAATAAATCTTTTAAAAAAAAAGAAAAAAGAAAAATGTTGGGCAGCAGTTACAAATCCTGGGATGTAAGATGCTCATAACCCATACTGGAGTAAGTGACCAGAGTGTTCATCTCCAGCTCCTGACTCCAGCTGCTTGTTCACGCAGTAGTGGCCATGATTCAGCCGAGAGACCTGGATTGCATTCCACGCTCCTGGCTCCAGCCCAGCCCCAGCCTGGTCACTGCAGGCATTTGACAAGAGAACCGGAGCAGCAGATGGGAACTCCATCTGCCTGTCTGTGCATATCTCTGTCTCTCAGATAAAACTTACAAAGAAGTCCAAATTAGGCACAATATTGTGATTACAATGTTAAGAAGGAGGTGATATAACTTAAGTCATCTTGTGCATTTCAATTTATTTGAAAAGTATGTTGCGATGATTTAAGATGGAATTAGACCAGAGAAGTGTTGGGGGAAAAGCCTGTTAACTTTTCCCATGTTTTATTTTATTTCTCAACTAATGTCCTATGCATTTATCTAATAATCTAAAATATGTTATTTTCTGGGTATTTGGAAAAATCGAGTTAAAATAAAGTTCAAATTGAATGATAAAATGATACATACAATTTCATTTAAATATAGAATATGTAGAATCACCTTACATAAAAGAATCTAAATTGCTTTCATAATCTATTTTCATTTGTATTATTTTTAATTGAAATATCTCCTGATAAAAGTCATAATTCAAGTCTTCTTTCAGGATGCAGACATAGTAGTTTTCTCCTCACTCAGAAATCAGCACAAGTCATTTCCTTTGCATAAATGTGTGAATTCCCTTAGAGAAAGGCACATTAGAGAAGCGTGCAGCCTCTGATCATGCAGGGTACTGTCCTGCTCAGCTCCGCCAGGGGGGCCAGGGCTGAGCGATCTCTGGGGGGCTTCACACTGCAATGCATGTGCTGATCCCGCACCCAACTGTTGGCCTCCATTGCTGAACCTGCAGGCTCTGCAAACATTCTAGAATTTACCAGGCAATTTAAAACAGTACAGGGGTTGCCTATGATATTATTTTCTTACTAAAAAGTGTTGTGATTTTTATTAACAAATTTGTTTTTTTTTAATGACAGCAAAGACTTTCAGGATGTCCTCTTTACATTTGTTTTAGGAGTACCATCTTAGGAGAGCCCTGCTGTGTGGGGGAAGGAACAAGGTGGAAACCAGGGATCCACTCCAGAGACCACGGCTTCTGATCCAGAGGAGGGGTAACTGTTTTCTACCAAGGGCCACTTGGCTATTGATGACATCATTTGTGGACCATTCTACCTTATCACATTAATTATTGGATTGCTATAGGTTATTTTGAATGTTGAATCCCCCGCAGGTGCCTTGGCATGGAATGTTTTCAGGGGCTCTATTAGACCCGTGGGCCAGATGTTCCCCTACCCCCAGGACACTTTCACCAGACGCTAGTACTGCGGGCACTTAGGTGCATTTCAGATATCTTTTAAGTAAATGCGACACCAACAGAACTGGATAACGGGCTGTATATGGAGTGTGAGAACAGAACAGGCATCACAACCTCTTTAAGCTTCTATGTGCATTTCCTCACTCTATCAGTTATAATAATTAAAATTACTGGGTCTGCTTTTTTCCTTGAATGTTGATTTTAAAAAAAAAAACCTGTGCCACGTAAATGTCA